GATATGGTGAGTTGTAATTTTGGATTTCGCTTTGCTCTTGCTTTTGCTTTTGCTTTGAATTCTACTAAAAAAGAAAGCAGTCAGACATGCTTTTGTACCTGCACTGTCGAAGAAATTCTTGTAAAAGAGACCAGCTTTTTTCCCTCAAGACTTGCTGCGACTGATTCACAAAGTTTTTCAGCTATTTCCTCTGCCTGTTTAAGTAATAAAAGGATAAGTCTTAGACATATACAATCCAGTTAAGTGTTACTAACAGAAGTAATGGAAACTCGCGGACAAATTAAAACGATGATATTCTCCCCTTGACCCCTACTTTTAATTCTTTTATGCAAAAGTACAGGGAAAACGAACAAGAAACAGCATATAAGCATTCTAGCTATGACCAAGCTCTGATGAAGTAAGGTGAAAAATTAATTAAATATGCAACAGTATGCTAAGTTGACATACCACATTCTTAGTCATAAGCCTGTCCTTGAGTGCCTTCAGCATAGGTTCTAGATCATCTTTCTCCAAATTTGCCTTTCCCGCAATACTGAGTTCACAAGAATAAATCAAATAATAAGTTGTATGTGCACCACTTCAATTGAACACCATAGTTTAACATCCCTATTGGATAGATCGAAAATTGACATTATAGAGAAAAAAAGGGGTTAATTAAGCGGTGATAGAAAGTGTAAAGGCATTTGCTATTTGTACATAAAAAATGTATGAATTACATAATATGATGTAGAGTAAAAATATTGGATGAAAAAGTTGATCGTTCCTTAGATAGAAAGCGAAATTGATGTTGTTCTAGTATGAAAAATACATTGTTATGTAAATTAGTGCAATTTTCGTACTAGAACGACATAAATATCGTTTTGTATTTCAGGAACGATTTCAATATCGTTATGAAAATCTATGCATTTTTCATATAAGGATATTTTAGTAATTTACAAATGGTATTTTCCTTTTCTTTGTATCTTGAGGTCATCTAACTAAAAAAGATAGTTTATGGGCTTTTTAACTAAAAAGTTGCTTTGACTTGGGCTTTTTAAATGAAGTCCCCTAAAAACTCTCCTTCCTTTCCCTCCATCCTCTCTTCTATCTCTCCACCGAGAGACTGTAAACGAAGCTCAATCCCACGTCAGCGACGGAGGCGGTGGATTACATGGCAGACAAAGTGATGGAGGTCATGGAGGTGGAGGTAGTAGTTGAGGCTATGGCCGCCTTGAGGGAGGTTTCTTTGTGATAAACTCATCTTCTCGTCGCCGCCAAGCTCGTTCTTGTACCACCAGTGATGATGGACGCCGCTGCTATTTGTGTGTTGATAGGTGGTAAAGGCTGGTTTGATTGGCCAATGGGGATGTCAGATGTTTCGATTGGATGTGTGAATCAATGTTGTTGATCTTGGTTTTGAGTGGGTAGGTGGGGGACTTTGTGGATGGAGAGGTTCGACGAAAATGGAAATGTATAATTGGTCAATTGGGCTATTGATTTGGCAGAGGCAGTGTGGTAGAGATGTGGGTTGCGGTGTATGATAATGGCGGCGGCGGCGTCACAATGGTAGGTTTGGAGATGTTATTGCTCATGACAGAAAATTTGGTGTTAGTGTTGGTGGTGGCAGATATAGATTCAAATCTCGTTGTGGTGTGGTGGTGTTTACAGGTGGTTTTTTGCGGTTGATGGTGTTTTGTAGTAGTTGTGCAATGATTTTGGGTGGCGACGACAATGTTGTTAGGTTGTGTTGGTGGTGGTCATGGTGTATGTGATGGTGCTGGCAATAGCCTCGCGGTGGTTGTGAAGTGGTGGTGGGAGTTGGTTGGTTTGCAATGGTGATGTTGTTGTCAGGAGGTGGATGTGGTGTTGGCGACGGTGAGGCTGGAAGCAGTGGTATCACAAATTATTTAATTAATTAGCACAAATAAGTAGTATGTGACCAATGAAATAAATAAATTTTGATCAATAAATAATATGTAACCTAAAAATTTGTTAATCCGTGACTAATAATTAGATAATTTGTGACTGTGTAATAAGTTGTGATTTATAAAATTTGTGATTTGTGATCAATCAATAAATTGTGACCTATAAATTTTTTAATTTGTGACCGTAAAATATTGTGGCCTATAAAATTTTTTATTTATAATAATTTGTGACCAATTAATTCGATAATTGTGACCAAGTTTTATATAATTGTGACATTAGTATTTTAATTTATGAAATATATTTTTAATTAATTATTTTATAAATAAAACTTAATTAATATCTGATTTTTGAAGTTTTAAACATTAGTTTTGAATTTTGAAATGAGTAATACCTAACCCTTGTTTGATATACATTATTTTCAAAATTTATTTCTCTCTTTTCTTTTTAACCATACATTTTTCAATAAAATAATATTATACACAAATTCAAAAGTGTTCCTTATTTTTTAACCACACATTCTCTATCAATCTAGTATTCTAAAATTCATTCTTCATAAATAATGCGTATCAAACAAGCTTTTAATCTCTTAGATATGAAAATTTTCCCTAAATTAATCAATTGGCAAACGAAATAGGAAAATGATATTTTGGGATTCAATTAATTAATTGGCAAATTTATTTAGAAAAAAAATTAAAATAATATGGCTTGTTTAATATAAAAAATTAGGAAGAATCGGTTCTTATTCGATTTTTTGTTTAGAACCGAAAATCGAACCAAACACACCAGTTTTCAATTTAGATACTTGTTCGGGTATTTAATTTAAGAAGAATCGTTCGATTCGATCCATTTCGATTAGAGAGTTCTGTTCAACCCTATCTGGATCTTACATTTGAGTTGAGGGCCAATCTCTATCCGGAACGAGAAAATGCCTAAGTTACCTTCTTTGGTATGAAATATTCCCTACTCCTCATTTCTTTTAGTTTTACTTTATTTTTTACATCAATTATTTTAAACAAAATAGCGAAAAATAATTTATCGAGAATAGTAAATTCCACCTGGCAAGCTATAAAAAGCTATTATCACAAAATCATAAGTTATTTTCAAGTGGAATTACACGCACACTTACTTTTCAACTTATCATTTTAAAAATCGGTGCAAGTTCTTTTTTTTTTTCAAAAATACGGTGTATCCCTCCCTCCACACACAAACCCTAATTTATTCTTTTATCCATTCCTTAAGTTACAATCACACCAACACTATCACAATTGTTGCCCCATCACCACCGCTCGGTTGCTACTACAAAGTAGTGCCCCCGAGATGTAGCACTGCATGCGGCCAGACACGACACTAATAAAGTAAAAGGGGATGGGAAAAATTAGAGTTTGGGTGAGGATTTAGGGGTAGGAGCCTTTGGTGTAATTTGTGAAATTGTAGGCTCCTACTTTCGATTTCAGATTAGGGGTCATTTTTGCAAATAGTAATTGATGGTGGGTGGGTTTGTGATCTATTATTTAGGTTGTTGTGATCAATAAAATGGATAAATTTGTAACTAATAGATAATATATGACTCATAAAATGGATAATTTGTGATCAATAAATATATGTGATCTAAAAAATGTGTGATTGATATTAAATTTGTAATTGTGACTCACAAATTTTGTCTTTATGATTGTGACCTCGTGCGATTTATGATTGATCATAATTGTGTGTTATTGTGACATTGACTTGTTATATGATCACTTATTTTTGAAACTTTTTCGTTAAATAATTTTAGTTACTATTTTCTATTTGAAATAATGATATTTCGTAAAAATTTCCATTTAAGGTATTGAATTCTAAAAAAAAAAATTAACGGGATGGGACCCCCGTTACCCATCCCCGCCCAGGGGAAAAATTCCCCATCCCGAATACCCGATTAAGCGGGTTATCCTCGCCCCGTTTGGGGTGGGGCCCCGCGGGTATCGGGTTTGTCGCCATCCCTATATAAGCTGCATATATTATATCTTTTTATTTCAAAATAACCCCCTGAACTCAAATATTGTTTCAAATTCATAACTGAAATTAATCTGCTTTAAAAAGAAAGTTTAAGTAAAGAAAAATCTTATGTACATTTTTTTGATAGCTTAGCGGTTAAAAATCTAGATCGTCATATTACTTTTTTCTATTCATCAAAATAATAAAAATGGACATTGATCAACTTGAAACCAAATGAAAGAAAAACAAAATCTAGTGATTTTAACACAAAATTCGATTCAACGATGACCTGTTCAAGTTTGACACTTGTCTCAAGAACACATTGGCAAGTGGCAAAGGGCTCTTTCGTCTCCTAGGGATCGCATCATACACGAAGTTGGAGGAAATTAGATCGACCAAAAGAAGATAGTTAAATAACTCGATCTACATGGCCTAGTAGACAAAGAAAAAGAAAAATAAAGAGAAGGGACCGCTTTATTCTCAGTCGATCGGCATTCATGCCAGCTTCTGCAAAACCAAGAAAAGATGAAAAGTGGAAATTTGGTGAATATATTTTCAAAGAAAACGGTGAAAGTAAGTTTCTCCATAAACACACAGAACCCAATAAAGATTAAAGTGAAAAAGAGGTAAGAGATCGCAAATTGTGGGAATCTTTTTCTTTCTTTTCACTGTTATGAAGATCGTATAATCATCCATGCCAATTCTTTTACTCTCTCTCTCTCCAATATATATATATTTCTTCTCTCTAAATTCTCTATAAACTTGCACCCTTTTTGTTCTTACTCTCAATCTCTGATAACATTTTACAAGAGTTTTTGTTTTTTTCTGAATGGAGGAGACGAGTCACAGAAGTAGTATAGATTTTCATGGTAATGGAGAGGAAAGTTCATTCGAGTTCTGGCCGGTTCAGCACCCCTCTGAACCGCCGGAGGAAGACAGACCCATCGAGTGCCCAATGCCTGCAGACTCATCTGTTATAAATGCAAGTATTGTTTCCTGTTACTACATATTCAAATTGAATGTTCTCATGCACCCCTGCAGTCGAGTATATAAGTATACAGTATAGTTAAACTCGACTAAGTCTACCATTCTTATTCAACAAAGCTAATGCTCCAAGATATATATGTTGAATTTTGAAGTTTTATAGTAACCATTCTTCTTACTGACAAAGTCTCTTATACAGGGTAATAACAAATTGCAGCAGAAATTTTCTGAGAGATTGCAGAGAAACTCAGCAGTGTTCAACAGAGAAAAGAGACTGGATCGTGTGCTTCCAATTCGGGCAACACGCAAGAGGCATCACGGAGAACCAATGACAAAACCTTTATTAGGGAGGCATTCTCTTGACCAATTTCTTCCACCCCGCGGTGTTACAATGTTTCAAATGCTAAACAAGTTCGATTCTTGACCCTGTGGTGTGATTGCTTCCTCATGGATCATGAGTTGCAACCAGAGAACCGTGTTTATTAACGGAATCAAAGACAATGCCATCATGTCACTTTCTTTGAGACGTTATTCAATCCTATTCACACGCACACGCACACTCACACTCACACTCGCGCACACACGTTCACGAATTAGCTTTCCAGCATACGGTGAACCACAATTACTCCCTGTTCAATTAATTATAATTTTTTTTCCTTAATCTTGTGTATGAAGTTATCTGTCAGTGAAATTTCTAGAAAATACAATGTTTGTTATAAGGACACAATTGTGATGGATGACAGTGGCTGTTTCAAGGATAGAACTTGGATCAGCAAGCACCAACATGAAATAGATGATTTACTACAATGTTTAATAGAACCTTCAAATTCATGGCGTTATACTATAGTAAAAGTTTTTGATATAATAATAATAACAAAAAAAGAAATTACCCGTGTCATTCAACAAATGCATGGCGTTATACTATAATATAAGTTTCCGATATAAAAAAAATATATATATAGAAATTACCCATGTCATTCGACAAGGGAAATACAAAGGGCTATGCCCATGCCCATCATCAACGACACTAGATGAACCGCTGTACTTCTCAAAGTAGAACTGCCATTGTTCATTTCAGCCAACACTCCAGCAACAGAAATGTATATAAAACCTCCAGCAGTAAACCCCTGTAAGAGTACCAAAGAAATATATAACCGTTCACCATCGAGCAATACTAGACGGTAAACAGAATCCAACTATAGGTTACTTGACAAACAAACTCTCACCTCAATCAAAGAGGATTGACCCGGATCTTGTCCCATTGTCAAGGCCTATACAGTGCCAGTGCATATATTATTTTATGTACTTTTGAACATGGGGTTAAATACACCAGTGATCACTAAACTCCTAGCAAAACTTCATATTGGTGACTAATCTCTGTTTTGTTTCAAATTGGTGTCGAAACTTAAAATTATTATAATTTGATCATTTCTTTCATATATATGTTAAAGACGACTAACGAAAAAGGTGAAATGACAATCTAGTTATTTGCTAACTAGACTGCCATATCAGCTTTTCAGTCATCCAAACTAATGGGGCTGACAGAATGACCAAATTGTAACAAGTACAAGTTCATCGACTGCTAGAAGCTATCTGAAATTTTGCTAGAAGTTCACTTAACGCTAGTGTTTTTAACCCTTGGAACATTTAGAAAGGAAGGAGAGTAGTAAGCTCATCTTTCTTCCATAGAAGACTACTAACCAGAGCAGTTCCTGCTAGCGCCACAAGTGCAGATAAAAAGTTAAAGAAGAGAGCTTTGGAGACACTAAAACCAGACCTCACCAAAATTCCAAAATCACCTATCTGCTCCACATCAGAACAAAGCCATTGAGTTGGCAATGCAAACTATCAAACAATTTTCTGGAAAAAGAAGATTTGATCGTAGAAAATTAGAACCCCCCTCCCCCCGCCTTTGAAATTGCATACAATAGAATAGGACGAGTACTTTTTTTTGATAAGTAGAATAGGACGAGTACTTACCACATTAGTGTCCCACTATATTTATACAATAATTATATCATAAATGAAAATGAACAAGAAAAATCTGATTTTGGAAAAAAAAAATGGCATTTAATTTGGGACATCATTATATAAGAAACTGATTTCATGATTTGCAAGTATTCACTGAACCGTACAGAGAACCCTGAATCTAATAAATCAATAAACACCTAGTTACAATAAATTTCTTCCTCAATGCCCAGTAGACCAAGTAAAAAGGTAAGAGCTTGTTTGGTAGAGATTAAAATCGGGTTAAAATTGAAAAACTAGCCGCTATTGTTGACTTTTGTTAGACGAGTCACGAGTGGGACCCAATAACGGCTATATTTTCAATTTTAATTGGATTAAAATCCCTCCCAAACCAGTTCTAAGTCAATAAATTTATCTACATATGATATACTTGGGAAAACAGGACAGATTTAATAAGATGAAGAGCAGTTTACGCAAATACAAAACTATATAGGCTTTCCCACCATAGAAAAAGACCATTGTTACAACTTTTTTTCGTGATAACATGTGGTACAACATGGTCCTCTTATCACTGAGAATCATAAAATTATTAGAGTGCAAATAAGAACTTAGACCAAGATTCTTCAGACCCAATATAATTTTATGATCCATTTCCTCGAACTACACCTCCAAATGGAAAATGGAAGAAGTAAATCAAAGAGGTTTGGTCAAAAGCAGGGCCAGAACCAAAGAAGGTAATCCAGTGGGGACATGCTTAAGTGCAAAATAATAATTTTGAAACAAGGTCATAAAATATGAATGTTGAAAACACTATAACCTTTGCGATATATTACAATTGTTTCCTAAATGTTTTAATATTCTGAAAATGTTGTGTAATATATTATAAAATATAATATTATATTCTCAACGGACTAAACTATCATTCATTCATTGATCTCAAATTCAATTGCACGGTTCATGTCATAATGTTCATAGCATGAATACGGTCTACAATAGCATTAGCAAACAAAAGAGTTGATGCCTAAGTCTTAAGCATGTAAGCGAATGGGTATTTCATTTTTATCACATACCACATTTCATTACGAAAGAAAAATAGTCTTATTCATTTCTAAAACTAAGTAATTGTTAAGCTGGTGGGAATCTTAGCAGAGATAGTATTTAATTTAGTTTCCAAATAAGATACTTTAGGAAACATAATTAGGAATTTATTTAATAGATTTTATAGTATTTTATTAGTTCTTTACTTTTCAAGTTGGATGCTTATTACAGGAAACATAATTAGGGTTTAATTTAATAGATTTTCTAGTATTTTCCTACTTCAATTAGGACTATTTTCAACCCCATATAAAGGGGGCATATGCATTGTAATAGATACAACTTTGATATGAAATAAAATTGATACTTTCTCCCCTATTTCTCTCTATTCTCTCCCTCTTCTTCTCTCTTTCTTTCCCTCTTCTTCTCTTTCTCCTCTCTCTTCCTCTTTCTTTCTTTCTCAATCTTGTTCTTTGTTCATTGTGTTCGTCATAAGCACACCAATTAATTAAGTATTTTACAGATGATCACAAATAAGGCACCATGCAAAAACGTCTATTTGTAAACCAATAAAAGACATGCTACTATTAACAAGTAACAAGAAACTTTAGTTTCCAGTTTATATTATAACTTTGCTTCCTTTCTGCGTCTATAAATTAGTTAGTGAAAGAGGGTTAATTTTATCATTTTATTAGTAAATTATATTCTCTTTTACGTAATAAGTCCCTCTTCAGACCATGATAATTGAAGCAGAATACCTTTCCCAACCCTGTTGTCTAATTCTAATTGATTTTGATTGCTACCAACTAAAAATCTGTTGGTTCCTTTTCCAAAATTCAGTGGGGACACATGCCCCCAGTGGATCCACCTGGCTCCACCAGTGACCAAAAGCTTTTAGTAAAGTCTGCACAGAGATCTTTTCCTACTCTCCCGAATTACGGACGTAAGAAAATACAAATTTAGATGTAAAATTGATATTAATATAATAATATATATTCACAAAAACATAGTACAAAAGAGAGAATCAAACCTCCTGAGGAAGCTCATGAGCAAGCAGAAACAAAGTTCTTGACCAACCACCAACTGATCCATAAAGGAGAAAAGCACTTCCCAAAGCCATTCCATCGGTGAAATTGTGCTGCACCAAATATTGGAGTCTATAAACTTTCCTTGTTAAATAAATCTGTGAACAGTTGAAATGATATATGCTTCACAATATAAACCTATGGTAGCTTTAGAGTCGAGCTAAAAAAGTTCCAACCAAGGAAAAAATTGACATACTACTCCATCGGAGAAGAGGTTGAGATAACCAAACACCAGATTTGACTGTGACTTGGTAGGTTCTTTTCTACTAATTGACTCTCTGTTATCATTGGAGATGTTCGTTACATCTAAATCAGTTTTATCTTCAGGATCACTTCTGCCAGCATTTCTCTGAAAATGCAAGAAATAGTAGACAAATTTCAGGAGAAGAAATGATTTACAGGGACTCAGATTAATAGGACTCTAATGCCATGAAATCTTAATCAACAACAATATTTACAAAAGTGTAACAAGGAGTTAAATAGAAATTGGACAAAGGTTGCAAAATTTTGTATCTAGAAACAAACAGTCATATTGCAAACTTCAATCGGGATAATTTGTTGGTCAGTCATGAAAGCAGGAGTACATCATGAAAAAATAGAAAGACCTAACAGCACATTCTTTTAATTTTTGTTACTGCTATTTCAGATGCAGGTCTCACATAATCTGTCCATCTTTAATTGGGTTCATATCCAAAGTGTAGTCCAGCCCCCAGTGAACATGATATACAAACTTCTCAGCCTACCTTCTGAAGAACAGATTTTTCACTTTGTTTATCTCCATTGGGAGCATCAGCGGGCAGTTTATCCAGTACTTCAGATTTATTTTCTGGTTTACTTCCATCTTTCTCATTATGAGACAGTCCCTGATGATTTTCATGAGCATCATTATCGTCCTTCAATTTTTTATTGTGCTTATGGTGATGATGGTGATGACCATGACCCCATGCATTAACTCCTCCAGAAAATTCTTCAACATACCTCACGAGTTTCTCAACAAGAAGAAAAAGTACAATTCCAGCTGCAACAATAAATGTCATAATAAGAATTTGAACTTCGGTAATCTGATCTTCAAAGGAATTATGTAAAATTGAGTAAGAAGACCAAGAATACTTTTATACCCAGGAAAGTGCAGAATAAGATCAGTAAGGTGAAAAAAAAAGTGCAGCGGAAAAAGATCAATGAACAAAATATTCCTTTAAAGTGATGAAAGGATACTGTAAATTATCTAAATAAGCCATCACTCACAAAAATATCTCTAATAGACACAGATATAAACACTGTATCTGTAATAATAGGGAGAACTATTCAGGCTCTTACATCATGTTAAATTCGTTTG